ACTGCAACATCTCAACTATAACGAGGAACTGCTGAAGCTCAGTTCAGATGCAAAACGCGTGGCTCGCAATTGGCAATTGCAAAAACTCGGCTCTGTTGAGAATCTATGCTGGCTTAGCCTTCCACCGCTTCTCTCTATCATCTCTGTCTACACTATTTTGCGGCGACGCTGGCTGGGACTTTGCCAGACTCGTTGGGTAGCGAATTTTTTGGCGGGAAACACGATCTCGGGAACCACATGAGCTGAGGGGCTGGAACTTTGTAGGGATGTTCCGTGTGCATGAACTAGCTGGCCGCTGGATTACGCGGTGGAGGGGGGGAGGAGGGACTGTATTATGTGGCTGCGGGGAGGTGTATTTGTGGGAGTGCGTGGAGGGGGGAGGGCGGCGGTTAGTCGATGTACAAATGTAGGGGCTGAAGGTATAGTTTGGGGCAGGATAGAGAACGGAGGTAAGAGAAGGTGGAGGTAAGTAAACAGAATGGAGGATCGCGTACCGAAGATAACGATGAGTAGAAGCGCGTTTAAGCGTAAGGGAATGCAAATTGTTCTGTGAAAATCCATGGGCTGTCCGCATTGATGCTTAGATGAAGTGGCGGATGGGTAATTTCGATTAGATTTACACAAAACCGTAAACAGCTCTTGCCACTCTGCGCAGTTAAAGAAGCGGCTCATGCTAGTCTTGTTGAGCGATAAATTTCTTGTGCAGCCTAAGCGAATTTGAATTAATTGATGGGAAACAATGCGATGTTGTTGGCGTCGTAGCCGGAAGGATAAATTTCGAAATTGCTTCAAAGTGGAAGGAAACGAGTGGAGCAGTTGTTTGCTTCTTTATAAAACCTGCAAAAAGTTTTGCATTTCCAACTGAAGATAAGTTTTTGCGCACACTTCTTCCTCACATTTTTCTCCAGCAAGGAGTAATTGCAAAATGGGATGTTAGTTCGTGGGGCAGCGCGCATTGTCCCTGCAAAATGCTATTCAGAATTAGCCATGAATTTGACAGTTTGTTCTTGAAAATGAATCTTGTAACAGACATGCCACTGTTGTCGAAGAAAAAATGAACTGCTTGTCATATGCGTAGAATGCGATTTTCGCGTGATTTCATCCATCTGACGTACTATGTGGTCGGCAATGCTGCTTTGTATACTGATAAAGTCAAT